TCCCGGCCCCGAGCCCGGCCAGGTGCTGCCCGCCTTCTTACCGTCCTGGCCGCGGCCGCTTGCTGGCTTATCCCTGGGAAAGCTGCCTGGGGCTTACGTGGCTTTCCGACTGTGATTGGTTTTCATTGTGATACCCAGATTCAGTCCTGCACTAGCGCTAAATCCAAATCCAGGTGGGTCTAGGCTGATTTTGAGGAGTTAAGGACGCATTGTAGTGAAGTGCAAGAGAATGCGGGCACGGGAATAAGGTTTCAAAACAGTCGGGCTGGTTAACTTTCCGATACTAACCAGACCTGAACTTGTGAGGAATTTTAAAGAGTAATGTATGTAAAGCACCGGCCTGAAGTACTCAAAATTAATGTTGCCCGAGATCAGGAACCTTGCTTTGTGTGAGTATTCAGTTACTATTTCTACATTCACACTTTTCAAATCTCGTGTCTTGTAATTCCTTTTTGCAACAGAATTGAGTTAAAGATTCAGGTTAATATTTTCCTTCCAACCCTGGTGTAAGCAATGCTAGATGACACAACATGATTGGGAATGCCTAATGCAGCCTGCTTTTGTAATTCCCACATATTGATTGGCATAAGAGATGCTCAGTCAATGATTATATTCTCCCATCAATTGTAATTAGGGCATACAAACATCCCACTGCTTCCCCACCCTCACCCTCGCAGTCTCAGTACTTGGTAACAGTCACTGGTTACAATCGTACAAAATAGAAATCACCTGTGTTCACGAGCACCGAGCACGTCTGCTGTTCAGGTTGGCTAAGATACAGTAAACCCACCTAGACGGTGGCAGTGCTGGTTTGAGGTTTAGACGGAGCTTGCTTACTACAAGATGACTGTCTTGAAAAGGTGTAGAAATATCCCAAAGCCAAAAGCTTTTCACCATGTAGTGTATATTACTTGGGACGGGGAGGACCAGGAACTAATGAGATAAATCTCCAAACAGAAAGATGAAGGAAACTGAATAGAATCCAGTACCTCAAAAGCACTAAGACCACACTATGGACTAGCAAGTGGCATGGTGGTTAGGTATTGGTTCCCACATGGTCAGCTTTGCAGTTTGAACCCCACACCTGGTAGCTTGAGAAACGCTGAGTGCATGTGTGTTGTGTGTTCAAAATCTTGAGAGGAGGGACCAGCAGTTAGCGTAATGGCTATGTTGCTGGACTTGCACGTAGCCAACCGTGGTTCAAGTCAGCGACCTGGCGGCTTAAACTCACGCCGGGCACGTGTGAATACGTGCCCAAGATCCCAAGAGGAGAATGGAGGAAAAGGGATTGCGGCGTGGCCATCCCCCCTGAGGGGGGGGTGATTTCTCGCTTTCTCTCTCTCTCTCTCTGTCTGTCTGGCAAGTGCACGCGCCCTATAGCAAAATAAAAAACAAAAACAAACAAAAAAACCTTTCAAAAAAAAAAATCCCGAGAGGAGGATGGATTGCAGCAGGCCATACTGGGGAGATGGTTGTGATTTCTCATTTTCCCTTTCTTTCTCTCTCTTGTGAGTGCACAGCATGCTATGGGGAAAAAAAAAAACTTAAAAAAAATAGACACTAGTGGCTAGTAAACCTCTTCAATTTATCCCAATAAAGTATAAAGAAGTGATAATAGAAAACTGAAGATCTTGAGCCAGCAGGTGGCGTGGAGGTTAGGGGTGCTGAACTCCCACATGGCTGACAGCAGTTTAATTCCCAGACTTGGCCACTAGCTTTCTGTTTCCCACTCTCCCTCTCTCATTCTGTCCCTCTCTGGTCAAATTAAAAAAATAATTATTTTTAAAAAGTGAAAATCCTGTGTATTTTGCCACAGTCTAACCTTCAGTTGTCTAATGTACCATTAAAGTTACTGAGGACCTAAAACTATGTCTACTTAAAAATTACATGGAAAGTTATTTCACATGTGCTGCAGGAAAATGTCAATAAGTCTGCCATCTTATATTTCTCTATCACTTTATCCTAACAAAAAAATAAAAGAAAGATAACCCTTTTTGCAGCTCTAAGTCATTACTCTTTCTAAAAAGTGACCCATTTAGTGGGCTAGTTTTTCATCAATTAGGTTTCTTTTAAAATAGTATTAGAAGGGGGGCTGGTAGGTGGCATAGTGGTTAGGTGCTGGATTCCCACTTGCCCGACCACAGTTCAAGTCCCCAACTTGGCGCCTTATTTTCTCTCTCTCCCTCTCTCTCTCTCTCTGATCAAATTAAAATAACAACAAATAATATTAAATAATTCTTTTTTAAAAAAACAGAATTACAGGGATCAGCAGATAGCATAATAGTTAAGTCTCTGGACTCCCAACAGCTTAAAACTCACACTGGGCATATGTGCATGCATGCCCAAGATCCAGAGAGAATGGAGGAGGGACTGCGACATGGCCAACCCCCCTAGGGGTGATTTCTTGCTTTCTGTCTCTCTCTGGCAGGTGCATGTATGCTATAGCAAAAAAACTCTCCCTAAAAATAAATAAAATAAAATAGCATTAGAGGTGGGACCAGCAGGTGGTGTGGTGGTAAAAGGTACTGAATTCCCACATGACTGACTGCAGTTTGATTCCCAGACCTGGCAACTTGCTTTCTCACTTTCTCTCTCTTTCTCTCTCCCTCCCTCTCTCTGTTCCTCTCTCCCCCCTCCCTCTCTCTCCTTCTCTGGTCAAATTAAAATAAAGTTAAATAAAATAATTCTTTTAAAAAAATAGCATTAGAGGGCCAGCCCTGTGGCCTAGAGGTTAACAGAGGCAGATCCTACATGTCTAACCGCATAGTTTGAGTCTGGGCGCTGGTGGCTTGAAAAACATGTGCAAGAGCCCAAAATCCCAACAGGATGGAGAAATGGAGAAGGGATTGTGGCATGACCATGCCCCATTGGGGTGCTTTTTTCCTCTCCTTCCTCTGGTGAGTGTACATGCCCTGTGCCAAAAAACAAAAACAAACAAACAAACAAACAAAAAACTCTCATAATCTAAACTGGAAATGTAATTTTCCTTGAAAGAAAAAAATTAATGATGTTATAAAATAGGGATAAAAGTACCCTCTAAATATTTAATAATTCCAAGATTTTTTTTTAACCTAAGTAAGAGAAACTCCTGAAGTAATAACTAAGAGTGTGTAACATAGAACTAAGTTGCTGGTAATCAGATATTTAGTTTCAAGACATTAACTGAATATCATGCATGTTATACGGGTTGAACACCCCTAATCTGAAAATCTGAAATTCAAATGCTTCAAAGTCTGGAACTTTCTGAGCGCCAACCAACATAATCCACAAGTGGAAAATTCCACACCTGACATCATGCATGGGCTGTAGTCAAAACACTGTAATACAGGCCCAGCCTGGGTGGCACAGACATGAGGGAACTACTGAGTAGTGGCTGAGGCCACACAGGAGACCCAAATTTGATTCCTGCCATACCGAAACAGGCCAGGTGAAGTGGCACACACCTGCGGTCCTAGCTAACTGGGAGGCTGGGGTAGGAGGATGGCAACTTGTTGAGACCCTATCAAAACCACCCCTTCCTCTCCTCACTAACAAAAAAAGCACTGTAATATAAAAATATTGTATATATTATTTTCAGGCTATATGTTTAAGGTGTATAAGAAATAGATGAATTTATTGTTTAGTCTTGGGTCCCATCTCTACGATATTTCATTTTATATATATGCAAATATCCCAAAACAAACAAAAAAATTCTGATCCCCAAAATTTTGGGTATACTATACTGTGAAAAGGTCATAATAGACAGATTTTTTAATGTTATAATTTGACCTAAAATAACTAACCTTACTTAAAGGAAAGTAGCAATGCCAAATTTTGAATTAGCACCAAATTCTGAATTAGCAGCTCCATTCTGGTTGCTTACTTATGTAGCCTTCAACTCACAATGTAGTCTATGTTGTGAGGGATGGAAGAAAGGGCCCTACAACTTCTGGGTTTGTTCTAAAGGAAAGACATTTCAATGTTAAGTATACTACTATTAAATTTCAGAAATGCATATACCCTAAAAAATTTCCATACTGAGAGCTATATATATTTATAACATAAATATGTTATATATAATACATACATGTATTCTAGGTCCTTTTTCTTTCTTTCTTTTTTTTTTTTTTGGAGAGGTTTTTGCTATAGGGCACGTGCACTCGCCAGACAGACAGAGAGAGACAGAGAGACAGAAAGTGAGAAATCACCCCCTAGGGGGGATGGCCACGCCGCAATCCCTTCTCCTCCGTTCTCCTCTCAGGATCTTGGGCACGCATGCACACGCCCCTGGCGTGAGTTTTAAGCCACCGGGTCCAGGATGCAAATCGCGGTCGACTACATGGGAGTCCAGCGACATAGCCATTACGCTAACTACTGCTGGTCCCTCTAGGTTCTTTTTCTGAGGATACATAATTTTTCTTCATGGAATGAAATTCTGTATCTAATTTCTGTTACTAATTTAGAACAGTTTACTCATATCTATTTATATATTAAATGCACAAAAGTAATTGAATATTCCTACTTAACCTAAACATATTCATTCCTTTAACAATGGTGGATGTGAGATTTTTAAAAACCTTTAGTTATTGCCAGCCCATGGGCAAGTGATTAAAGAGGATGGATCCTACATGGCCCACTGTATGGTTCAAGTCCTGGACCCAGCAGCTTGAGTAACATGCCAGCCTGTGTTCATATGTGCCCAAAGTCCTGAAAGAAGGGAGAAG